ACCCGCCCCAAGCGCTTGGTGATCGGAACAAGGAGCGCACGGCGCATTTCACAGAATCATCTAGGTTGGAAAAGATTTTGAAGATCACCTGGTCCAACCATTATTTACCTTTCTGGAGACTGACGATGGTGAGAACGGTGAAGATCACGAAGGTGAGGGCCAGGAGCACATACAGCAGCATGACAGCTCTCTCCGGAGACGAGGCTGGGATGGGCAGCACTGCCAGGGGTGAAACGGGGTCAGGCGGCCCCAAGTAACTCCCACCCCAATGGATATTTGCTTAAAGAAGAGCACAAAGAGGAGAGATTCCCCCCCAAAACAACCTCTCGAGGGGCTCCACCACCCTGTTCCCCACTCTCAAACCTCTTTTTCTAGGTTATGACCCAGTGGAGGAACCAGACATCAAAATTCAGCTTTAATTTCGGAGTAAGACCGGTTTAAAGAGGTGAAACCCTCCAGTTTTCACACCTCTGGATCCCCAAAGCTGCTCCCTCACCCCAATACCTCGTCTAGGCGTTTTCCTTTTCTCTTGCTTCTCCAACTCCATCCCCTCAGCAAAATCCCATTTAACGGAGGTGCTGACAGCACTTTCCCCTTGTGACATTTCTGAAGGTTTTTCATTTGATATTGCCCTGATTTATACAGTGGGGAAGACACGTCATCTCATCCTGGGGGGGAAGGAAACACTTGTGTTTCATAATTCTATTTTCCTAGGAAAAAAAAAAAAATAAATTGCTCATTCAGGAGCTTTGGAGGGGCCGATGCACTTGGGCAGCCCCTCCCTACATGTCACAGCCTCTTTCCTTTGATTTTTAGAAGAATCGGTTAAAAAACCACACTCTGTTCTCCTCAGACAAGGCTGACACCTGCCCCAGGAGGCTTCATTCTGAAATAGAAAGCGCTGTTCTCTGAGGCGAGCCCCTAAATTTCGCTTTTTTTCTTTTGTTTGGTGGGAATTCTTCAGCATTTTTTTTCCCTCGGCGTATTTGGTGATTATATTCTTAAGTTTTTAACGCGCGAAACTTAATAAGGGTGGTGAAAATCCTCATTTTTTGAAGCACTTCTTTCCTTCATTCCTTCTCCAGGAAAATTCTTTTCGGTGCCTGGACCCCCTCAGGGCTTCGAGCCAGGCGTCCCCCTGGGTTGGCTTTCACAGAAAACGAAAGTTGGAACTTATGAGTAACTTCGTCACTGAGCGATTTCAGCTGAATTTCACAGAGGCACCCCAGGAAGAGCAAACGCAGCCAAAAGTTGAATGTCCTTTTCTTTCTCCGGTTCCCCTGCTCTCAGGGCAAGCAGCTTCCTCCTTTTGTCCAATTTCCCCTTTTTTTGATCCCAAATTTAGGGGAAGTCAAGAACAAACTTCTTGCCCAGGGTGGCTACCCATGTCCTTGGGGGGTCTGGCACTTTCCAATAAGCAGTGGACTCAGTTTTTGAGTCAAAAAGTTGTGAATTCTCCCCTCTGCTGCCAGCGTGTGGTTTGTCCTGGTAGCATGGGAGAGGTTTTTTTTTTTAAAAAAAAAAAATAAATAAATCAAAGGTAGCGGTTTTTAAGCTAAAAGAATTGAAAAGTGAGATAAAAGTCAAGGAAAGACCAAAACCACCAGCTCCCACCCCTAAACCTCCCATGTTCTTCTCTCTTTAGTCTTTTTTAGGGGTTTTTAAATCTTTTTAAGTACGGCCGGAGTGGTTGAAAATCCCTTTAAGGTCCTAAAAAAAAAAAAATTTGAAAAAAAATCCACTTTTCAGCGCTGTTAAAAATATCCCCAAAGGCCCCTCAGCACTCCCGGTGACGGCAGGACTCTCGGTGTCCCTGGGGACACGCCGCACGCCGTCACTCTTGTCCTTGGGAACATCCCCGGTGCCCCCCAAACTGGGGACACCAGTGTCCCTGCACCCCTGAGATCACCCCAGTGCCCCAAGGAAGAAACGTGGGACCCCTGTCACCCCCATTTCTGGGGAGATGGGGTCTTTTATTAGCCCCATCGCTGAGGATCCCAGTAGCTCCCAGTGTCCCCATCCCTAGATCGCTATGGGATGGGGGACCCCCGTCACCCCATCCCTGAGGACCTGGGGAGCCCCACGACCTCCACACCCAGGTGCCCCCCAATTCCTCCATCTCTGGGTAACCAGGGACCCCCGGCACTCTCGTCCCTGGGGAACTGGGGACCCCACCCCCATGCCGGGTGCCCCTGCCCTGACGCCCGCCCTGACGTGACGAACCCCGCGCTGGCCCCCTCACCACAGAGCTGAAATCTCGACGCCCCATAGGTGGAAGCGTCTGCCTATCATCTCCCATTAGCCAATAAGAGGCGCAACTCTCACCAGGAAGGCGGGATCAGCCACCTGTGCTGGAGGGGTGACTGTCGCCTAGTTTCCGCGCCCCCATAGGCTGCCTTCAGCTTCTCCTGCTCCAGCGATTAGTAGATTCTGCTGTCAATCAAATCCGAAGCCTTCAGCTGAAGAGGCGGGGCTTGTTGTCCTCTCCTGTCAGCCAGATGCCACACCAAGCAAGATCTGGCAGCTGATTGGTCGCTCTACTTATCCATCATCACCACCTGCGCCTGCCATTCGCCTCCCAGCAAGGAGGTGCACACGCCCCCTCAAGGAGGGGGAAGCATCTCCTTGAATCTCATTGGAAGAGCAGCTTGCCCATCAACCACCGGCGAGCCAGCCCATTGGCTCACAGCGCAGCAGGCGCGGTTTGTACCCGGGTCCCCTGCGGCGGCTCATTCCCGGGCGGGCCGCGACGATTGGCGGTGGCACCTCGGAGAGGCGGGCGTAAGCGCGGAAGCGGCGCGTTGATTGGCTGCGGGGCGGGGCCGCCTGTCAGTCAGTGTCAGTCAGG